TTCCATAAATTCATAAACATGGTAATCATATACCATTTCAAAACAAAATCAGATAGCGGTCATAATTCATAAATCATCACATTAAATCGGTGCATTAATAAAACAATAACCAAAGAATTCAGTGTACCACTTATTAAAACAAATAAAACAGTTCAATAATAAATAGGGAACACACCTCGATATTAGGTTCAAGTAGTATATCTACTGATTGTTGGTCTCACCGCGTTCTGCTACAGTTTTCGAACCTAATTTATAATAACACTATATTACTAATGGGTAATATAATTAATCTCTAAAATCATAAAATTTACGGATCTTACGGGTGAATACTGACACACGTGGTTTAACTGATCTAGAAGAGCTGGGTCGAGCTGTCGAACGATCCGGAGAGTCTCTTGTACCTTCAAACAATAATAATTTATCAGCCCCAAGTCTTACTTAATTGTTCAAAGCTAAATTCTTAAGTATATAAGCATTTTCTGGGTTTGACTATCAATTTGGAAGATTTCGAGTCTGAATTTGACCAAACGGATTGCGGAATCGGAATCAGGATGTCGAAAAACATAAAGTATGACTTTTCGAAAATTCAAATTCTTGGTCAAAATCAAAGTCAATGGGTTTGACTGATGATTTGGAGGCCTTCAGGTTCGAATTTAGCAAAACGGACTTCGGAAACGGACTCGACACGTCAAAAAATGTCATAATAGGTATACTCGAACAAAATCAAATGTCGTTTAATGGCCGTTTAAAATCGGTCAAAGTTATGGTCAAAGGGGTTCAATAGTCCACGTTCGAAAATTACCAAAATGTCACCTTTCAAAAAAATTCCAGAATGTCACATTTTTCACAAAAATTCCCAAAATATCACATTTTTAAAAATAATTCCCAGAATGTCACCGGATCGGGTCGGGTCAACGGGTCGGGTCGATCAACCCGATTTGGACCGATCAAGGCGATCAACCAATTAAACTGCAGTTCGAATCTTCCCCACGCGCAGGGGCGGCGCGTGGGGATTCGTGAGACCGCCTCTGGCCTCCAAAAATTCATGCAAAAATTTCAAAAAAATCTTTTAAGCGATTTTGAGACACTTACCAACCTCGGTTCAAATTTTTGAATGGTGGAGAGCTCGATTTCAACTCGGCCGAATCTTTGACCATTCCACCTCCCACACACGCCGCCGCCTACGGAGACAAGGACGACACTGTCGGACTCATAACGACACCAGGAACACGATGGTGCGAGAGGTGTCAAAAACCGATCAATGATCGAAGATGAATTTAAGATTTTTCTGGCAGTGGTGGTAAAAAAACATCGATACTTTGACTCGAAATTTCCGTCGTTTGGCAGCGTTTCGCTATAATTGGTTTACTGAGTTTTGATCACGAGTCGACGATAAACACAATGGTGGTTTCAATTTGACGATTGGAAGTCGGACGACGTCGGAATCAGGCTTTGAAAGTAAGCGCACGGGAGGAGGAAATTTTATAATTTGCTTGTGTTTTCTGATTTTGAAATCAGCAAACACAAAATCAGAAAACACGTTTGGTTTATAATCAAACCTGTCGACACTTATTGGAGGAATTTAGGACTTGATCTCTGGATTTCCTTCAACTTCAAAAATAACCTATAAATTTTCATAAATTTTATTTTAGTCACTAAATTTCACCAAATTACACCAATTTAATTTTTTTTCTCGGGTTGTTACAGCTAATACCAATTACACTCTCACCTTTTAGCAACAACTCAATTACCTTTCTACTGGAATTACTCAAAGACTTTAAAGCTGGCACAACCAGATCGATAGGCTTGTTCCCATTAGCATCAACATGATCAACATCAGCAGATGCATCAAGCAACAGCTTGATAATCTCAACCGAAGACTCCGAACCACCAGCAACAGCACAATGAAGATCAGTAACTCCATCAGTACCACAGGCCCCATTCACATCAATCTTCCCACTTCAATGATGTATTTCAAAACATCAACGCTACCGAACATGGCACAGATCATCAAGGGTGTCCTCTCTTCAAATCCCATCTTTCTCGACCAGAGTCTTCTACCATACCAGAAACTTGCCTCACCAAGATCCAAACCTTTCTCTTCTACTTCATTCTTAAAGGCTACCAGATCATTAGAGGCAGCCAATTCGAGCACAACAGAGCAATTACATAAAGCGACATTTTTCGCTCCTGTAGCTCACCTTCCATAGTGAAATTTGAGGAAACAAGTTCACTTTTTGAACCACATCACATCCCCAACCAGCCCTGCATAGTTATTACAGCAACAAGAGTTCAATGTCTCACTCCATAGCGAAAATCAAATAAGAAGAAAACATTCTATAACTGTGCCAGACCGAAGTACAAAGAAATCTTTATGGCAAAATTTTCATTCTAGGACCTGAAAGTAAAACAACCCAGAGTCTGAAAATCTAATAAAAAGCTACTATTCATGGAACCATAAATAAACATTATTACATATACTTCAATTTCAAACACTCTAAAAGCATAAAAGAAAAGACCCAAAATCCACAACTTTTTACCGAACAGAAACCCCAACAGACGATAACTCATGAATTCATAAAAGAATCAGAGCAAACATTCATAAAAGTACTTTTAAAAGACAGAGAAAAGGAGAAGCAAAGCTAAAGTTGAAGTCTTGTTACCTAAAAGCAGTCTCAGTGGAGGGGGACACAGAGAAGAATAAGATTATATCAGTACAGTTAAGAGAGTTGGAACTGAAGAAGAAGGTGTGAGGGAGAAAGAAAGAGCACAGTAGAGAGGGTTTTTAAAGAAAGGGTTAGTGTTGATTTTGGGGGGAAGAAGAAGAGAGTAAAGTGTGGGTCATCTTCCTCGGCTTTCTGTTATGGTCAAACTTTAAAGTGAAGGGGTCCCTCCTCTTCTTGTTTTTAGGGTAAATTATGTAGTTAGCACTTAAACTATCATTTTTATCTGTTTGTAGTATTTAAACTTTTAATTTTTTTTAAAATAATGTCTAACGTTTAATTTTTTATTTTATTTTAGTATTCACCAGTAAACAGGGGCATAACTTCAGTGGAAAGATGAACAATTTGAATGGTTAACCACAAAAGAATGATGAGTCGACCAACATATTTCAGTTTCAAGCCCACCGGACGGTTGACGTCAGAGATCGGAGGATGAAGAAGTTGAAGAGTCTATCGTAGATTTGGAGATATTGAAAAGGTATGGGCTAGAAAGTTTGGGCTTCATCGGTTGAAGGATGCGATGGTCAGCGATCGTAGATGCGACACCAGGTGAGCTCATCTGTTAAGTTTTTAATGGCCGATACTATAATGAAATTAAAACTAAATGTCATCTATGATTTTACAAAAAGTGAAAGTTTAGATATTGAAACAGAATAAAATTGATAGTTTAGGTACTAAACCCATAATTTACCCATTTTTAATTATTGCCTAAGTATTCAAATTATACCCAAATTCATTTTAGATGTTTGAATTTTTTTTTTAAGAATAGGTGATTAACGTTTTTACCGTTACAATTTTGTGTCTAGATTGTAATGTCGTTAAATTCAACTGTTAAATGACATGTGTTATGTTTATAATTTATAATTTTTTATTTAAATAAAAAAAATAAAAGTATAGTTTATTTATAAAAAAATCTAAAATTGTATAAAATTTAAAAAAAAATCTCAAAATCCTAATTTTAATCCCTTAATACTATCCGTTGCCACCAACGTCGTTAATCGACCGAATACCCATGTTATTTGATTAGATAACTACCCAATGGTCGAAACCTCTTATTTTCGGACTGATTGAACACTTAACGACGTATAAACATAAGATTTTGCAATTGGCTAAAAGTAGTTCTTCATGATGCGATTATCGATTTTCCACTGCAATCACCGTGTGAAGGATCGAGTAGTCGTATGCCATCGGGATTTCGGGTGAGACCGATGGTGGTAACGGAGGATGATTTTGAAAATAATCTTTGAAAATTTTGAAAATAGTGTCTCTGAAAAATTTATTAAAGCTCTGTTCAGAGAACGAAATCTTCTGAGGATTTTTATTGACGGAGACTGGATAGTTTCCAAATGATTTTCTCCAGAAGTAAAATATAATTTATCGTCCGTGTATTTATATATAAAAAAACTGAAAGATATAGACTTCCTCTCTCTACATTCCAACTCTCACACCGACGTTACATGTCTTCCTCAACATTCACTCCTCTCCTTACAAGGATCACCACCGACTTAAGTTCAAGTACTAATTGAATATAATTCTACGTCTAAACTAAAAAAAATAAATCACCAACTACTGATAAAAATAACTTGTCCCGTCAATAAGGGTAAGCTACATGATGCATAAATTATATCAACGTTTAGTTTTTATTTCATTTTAGTACTTACCGTTAAAAATTTAACGCGTTTAATACTTAATTTATCAATTTTTGTCCATTTTAGTACATTAACTTTAAAAAAATCAAAATTTAAGGTTAAAATTTGAATGTGCCAATAAAATAAAACAAAAACTAAATTTTAAATATGATTTTAAAAAAAATTAAAAGTTTAAATACTAAAACAGATTAAAGTTGATAATTTAGATATTAAAAGCATATTACCAAAAATAAATAAATGTTGAATGAAATGATAAGATATACTACAAAGTCAATATAGAAACCAGGTTTCAACTACATGCGTTTATACATTTACTCGAGAAATAAAAACAAAATTTTTAAATTCTGTTATTTATTTATTTTCCCATTAGGAGAAAATTGCCTTCCGCTTGATATTTATTAAAACTTGAGAAAACATTAAAAAGAATGCTGTGACAACTACTAGCCTAGCCTACTTGAACTAAAGTGTCTTGCACCAGTGGAAACTAGGATTCAACTACAGATGTAGATATATTTTCTCAAGTCGGACCAAACCAAAAGACAAGGCAAATCTGGAGATCCAAGGAACTGAGCAACATAAATATTAAACCACCTGAAACAGCCATTAGGACTAAATAGCAACCAAGTCTCAACTCAGATTCCGAAATTTGAAAACTGGAAGACTGCATTCACTGCTGCAGACCACGAAAATGTAGGTTACAGTAATAAAAAGTACATTAATCTACACAAATCCTATGCATTTTAGGTCACTGCATCTCATTCATGTGCCTAAAGAACCATAGTAGTTGGTTTGCGATTCCAGGAAGGATTTTTCAGTACCAAAAGAATTTGCATTCATTTCAGCTGTGTTGCTTTAAAACATCTTTGAATAAAACAGATCGGGTTAGTTCCTCCCTCCACCGGCTGCTACTGCCTCACCTTTTTTGTGCATGATGGACATTTGTAAAACTTAATCAGTTCGGCCTTGGCTGGTGTTATCTTCACACACTTTCCATGGTACCACCGTTCACAGTTGTCACAGCCGATCCAAAACTCATCCGAATTGTATCCTCCCCCACAGCTGCCACAAAATGTATCACCCTGCTCTTCTTCATCCTCCTCATAATTTTCGTCAGCTAACTTAGGATTGCTTCTTGGTTGTCCATCAATTGACCTCTGAAAGGCAAAAAGGTAAAATTATAAATACAAAGCTAAGTGAAAGAAGAAACAGTAACACAAAGTTCCACAGTCAACAGTTCGAATTGATTTCATTATCCTCATGAATGGAGAGGGCATCACAAACTCACCTTTGTGCTGTTTCGCGATTTGCTTCCACTGTCCACTGAGGGCTTATCTTTGACGGGCTTCCTACCAGTTACAACTTCAAAGACAGTCGGAAGATCATTTATCATGCTGAATAAGCGCTTCCTGTTGAGTAAAAAACAGAAAACTCGTGACTTATAGTCTGGCCACAAAAAAGTTTAAGAAAATCGAGAGAGACAGAGAGCATTGATATCACAGGTAAAAAAAAATGTATGCTTGCAAAATATGTATGCATGGTTGTCCGGCACAATTAGAGCAAGGAGTTACCAATTTAAGACCCAAATGATCAAATTGGAGATTCTCAACTAGTTAACTTCGAAGATCAAAAGTGCTGGTTGAGCGTGTCCTTCTAACTACTTTAGCAGATATATCATTTTCCGCAATATATAAGGATCATCTATGACTGAAAGAGTTGTTACAAGTCTCTTCCATCAATATCCTATTTTGCCAGGCCTGAAACCTCAAAATATAACGTTACCCAAAAAAAAAAACAGACCCCGCACAGCAGGTAGAGCTAATTTAAGATGTACTCAAAATTTACGAGGGAAAGGGTGGGAGAGCTAGTGACTTCCATCATGCTGTTCCCTTGGCTGCTAGAATGGAGACAAAAAGAAGAGGGGGGAGAGCGAGCAGGGATGCCACAAGAGGCCATTATTGAATTCAGGTTGTAATTAAGAAAATGTTCTTACAATAGGTATCTTACACAATTAAAAGCTTAGAATGCCTATCCTACCACAAACTCCAATAAAGGAACAACGAGTGTTTAGCAAATAACATTAACTAAGTGCTAAACATCTTAACTGAATTAAATTAGAAGTCATAGCAAGTGGCAATTACTGACACGGGATCATTCTCAAGTTATTTAGGAAGGGCCCTCAAAGTAGCCCTCCTAGATTGAGGATAAAAGCATCAGATGAGAAGGAGACAGTGGTCTTAAAGGGTTATTGAGATAGAGAATAGAAGGTAAAATCTCTAGATTCCCATCTTACAATCCATAAACAGAGTGGATGACACTAGAGTCTAGATTAAAGAAAACTCATAAAAAGATACAAGTAAGGTCATTAACATTGTGTCGGTGGTGAATTATCTGAAAATGTACACGTTACAGGCTTGGTGGCTAGAACAGAGAACCCAACTAGATTGTATGCATCCCAAGGTTTGCCAAAGCTTATAAGATGAAATAGGATTCCTAGTCTGTTATTAACATCACTTTGTCGTGCACTTAAAGTGCAATTTTAAGTTCTATTGATTCTGCCAGTTAAATGCTGGCAATGAACCTCCTTAAATGGCCATGAACTTCTAAGTTCCAAGAACTTGACCATCCATTCACCAACCTCCACCCAAATAAAATTTCTTCTGTAGAGTTTCACTCTCATCTCAAGTTCAAATCAACACTTCACTCTCCCTCAATCTCAACAGAACAGTATGAACACACCGATTCCTATACAAAATTAAGTTCAGTGAATGTAAACCACCTAAAAGACAATATTCATGGCCTCATGTGATTAATAAGTACCAGGGTTTTACAAACTCAAAATATCGAGTGAACGATATGGAATCAATAACTTACTAATTTAAAGCCTAAAATATGAAGTCCATAAGAAGGGTAATTGGATGAAGAAAGCACAAAGAAACCACATATTCATGCGTTTATATCTAATAACCAACAATATATTTCATCATTGTAGCAGTCCCACATTTATTAGTCTAGCTCAAAGACAAAATGATCAAAAGAAACATAACAAAACCATGACCCTATAGAATAAATTCCACCCAATAAAGGACATTTCTTCTAAGAGTGGCCAAAATAGAAAAAGTATCCTGACATTATCATCACAGCTCCAATGGTTATCTTGTCCAATTTCAGCAACACATGTCAAATTATATTCTTATACCCCTATGACTAAGATGTATAATTGTTTAGAGCATCTACAAGAGAAGCAAACTTGGACCATAAACACAATATTAGTGCAAAAGTAATAATAAACATTCCAATTCCACTAAAGGAGATAGATGCCATTACAAAATACCTCTCATTGCGATTGAGTCGAGCTCCAAAGTAGAAAGACACGGAAAGCAACCAACAATCACAATGCACAGCAACCAGTGAAAGCCAGTCTTTACGGTTCATCCCATCTCTTGCAAAATTAATACCCAAGGCGGGCTCAGGGAGCTCCGGTGGAACTTCCTCTGCTGGTAAAGCAACCTCCCAAGCCTCGTTTGGGTGTCCATACAAACACAAATTCTCCTTATCTAAGCAACAAAAAATCAAAATGCTTCAAACAAATATAAAATCTGTGATCAAAATCACAAATCCTACAACCTCTAATAAAGCACAACTTGCACATTTCTCAACTGGATTTAGCATATAAAAGAAAGTGCAGGAAAAATGAAAAGAAACCAAAAATGTATTCTATATTGCACATCCTTCGCAACACCGAAAAGAAGTCTAGCAGTCTCAAAGAAAAATGGAAAACAAATTCATACTAAGGGTCTAAAATAAGTGAAAAGTTCGATAAAAATTTCCTCGCAAATTTCCATCAACTTCCTAGAGTAAAATGCCACTCATTTGCAATTTACCTAAAGAGAAAGTCGCGATGTAGATTGAAAATCCAACAGCGGATAAAAAATCATAAACCTTGGATCAATTAAGGAATATCGCATGCAGAGGCTCAAAGGAAGCTCCGCGCTTCAAAATTGAATCGGATCGATTCTATCAACCAAGAAACTACTTAGCTCACTCTAAATCAAAAGCATCGCAGACAAACAGAATTTCTATCTGTATTTCCCTCAGAAAAGAAAGAAAAATAAGAAAACAGAAAAGAAATTTACCTGGATCGCATTGCGAGTAGAAATCATCTACATCTGATCCAAATCACACGAAAGCAAAAGCAATATTAAAAAACAAGTTGAAGATGAATTCAACAAATGAACTTAGGGTTTACAGAAAGGGAACATCACCGTAAGTAAGAGCGCGAACGAGACCAGACCGTCGAGCGCTATAGTCTTTGAAGATCTCTTCGACTGTGCGAGGACTAGAAGTAGCCATTTCTTTTTTCCTCCAAATAAGATGTACTATAATTTATAATTTATTTATTTTTTATGTGTGCAAAAACTAAAAAGCGAGAGTCTTATTTTCGGAAACGGAATCGGTCGGTTATTCCCATGACTTTTTTAGGTTAAATTGTGATTCTGATCCTCCTTTATTAATCAAATTCGAGATTTATTCCTTATACTTAAATTTAACTTGATACTTTACTTTTTTATACTTGGTAAATTTATGTTATTAATCCTTATACTATGCTTAAATTTTTTACTTAGTTCATGTATTCTAGTTCAGACATTTTTAGTCTCTTTATTTTTTTAATTTTATTATTTTACTCTTGATTTTTCTGTTCAATTCTAGAATTAAAAACGATTAAATTTTAAACAGTGACCAAATATATAAATTAAGCATAGTACTAAACTAATAATAGCAATTTGCCTATTGAAATTAACTGTTATTGTTTGAGTTAGGACTAATATTTTTAAAAAATGCATATATTAAACAAAATTAACTTTGTTGAAAACATTTTGATATTTCGATATAACAAATTAAGTTAAATGAATTTTAAGATTTTCCAAAAAGATTTTCTAAGAATATTCGATATAATTATTCGAATATCAAAATATTACTTCAAATCTTTCAAATATCATTTTAATCGTTACTCAAGTGTAAAATTAAGTTTTAATCTTAAAATAATTTCAAAACGATTTTACAAAATATTTCGAACCATTTCAAAGCCAAAAATTCCAGATTGCTTATAGGGAACAGATTCCCCCCAAGGGGTACCGATTCCCCCCTGAATGGTTTGGCTCCGAGAAATTCCAGTATGCTCGGAGGGAACTGATTCTCCCCCAAGGGGGTACCGATTCCCCCTGATCAACGGTCGAAATATTTGAATTTTACACTTAGGGAACCGATTCCCCCACGCTCCAAGCAGAAATATTAATTGTTTTCACACTTAAACGGCTCCAATAACTTCATTAATAATCCCCAACGTTCAGAAGTGATTCAAGGTGTATTTAAACAAGCTTAGAAGCCATTGATCAATAATAAGAAACATCAAGCAACTAGAATCAAGAGAGAATCAAAGAGAAAGCATCAAACCTCAAGTTTGAACATTTCAAGTCTATTTTTCATTCAATATTCATTTTGCTTTCAAGAACACTTATTGTGCTCAATTGTATTTATTCTTGAGTGTTCTTTCTTTGTTCTAGAATTGTGCAAACATATTTGCCTTATGAGGTTTTTCTTGTAAGTTTGCAAATTTGTAATATTCTCTTTGAGAAAAGAGTGTTCTCAAGAATTGGGGTATATTCTTGAGGGAATTGTAAGGTTATCTCTTTGGCCTCAAAAGAAAGAACAAATTAGTGAATTTGTTGGAAAATCCTTAGTGTGGATAGCTAAGGTAGTGGACGTAGACTTTGGTTGATAAAGTCGAACCATTGTAAATCGTTGTGCAATTACTTTCAATTTTCTGCAAAAGCTTCCACCAAAATTTTTATTACCAATTCACCCCCTCTTGGCCGATTCCATCGATCGATTAACTCAACAATTGGCATCAGAGCCTAACTCATTTGAAGGTTTAATCGCCTCTTGAGTCGATTCGGGAAGAGTTACATCGATAATCAAAGTCATCAATGGCCTCTACTTCAAACTTCGTCTTCGGTCTCGATTCGATGCCCGTCAACAAGCCTCATTTCTTCAATAGGGCTAACTATGCCTATTGGAAAACTAGGATAATGTACTTCATTCAAGCAAGTGACATGGGAGCATGGAATGCCGTAGAAGAATAATACATCAAGCCTCTCACTCATCCAAGATTGTGGAGTGAAGGAGAGACAAGAATGTTCCAGCTCAACTCCAAAGCCATCCATATCATATTTTGTTCTCTTGGACCAGATGAATACGGAAGAGTTTCATCTTGTACAACCGCCAAAGAAATATGGGACAAACTTCAAGTCACTCATGAAGGTACCGATGAGGTAAAGAAATCTAAAATTAGTATTCTAACGCATAGCTATGAAAATTTCAGGATGAAACCAAATGAGGATATCAAAGCTATGACGGATAGATTTTCAACGATTGTCAATGGTCTCAAATCATATGGAGAGATCATTTCAAATGAAAAGCTTGTGAGGAAGTTAGTCTACTCCCTTCCAAAATCGTGGCAATCAAAGAAGACGGCAATCATCGAGTCTAAGGACCTAACGTCCTTAACTCTTGAAGAACTAATCGGTTCCCTTCTCACTCATGAAATGATGCTTGAAGATGAAGTGGACCTCGATAAGATTGACGAGACACCAAAGGAGAAGGAGAAAAAGAAAAACATTGTAGTTGCTCTCAAATCCACAAAAGATGAAAGTGATTCGAATGACGATGATGATGACGAGGAAATGGCATTATTTGCCAAACGATTCAGAAAGTTGATGATGCCCAACCGAGGAAGAAAATTCAAACGTATAAAGGCTTCAAAACTGAATCGAAGGAGAAAGACCCGATCATTTGCTATGAATGCAAAAAGCCGGGGCATGTCAAATATGATTGCCCACAATTGAAGAAAAATGGTCAATCCAAAAAGAAGCACAAGGCTCATGTAGCTACATGGAGCGATGAAGAAGGTTTCGATGAAGAGGAAGAAGAAGTTGCAAACTTGTGCTTGATGGCTATCGAGGAAGATTCTAAGATAACCTCTAACTCATTCGATTTGGATGAATTATCTTATGATGAGTTACTAGAGGATTATAATGGGTTGGCTTCGGATTATAATACTATATTTTCAAAATACAAAAATGATATTTCAAAATTGAAAAATGAAAATAGTCTTATATCCAAGACCAACAATGAGCTTGAAAGTAAGATCAAAGAATTGCAAATCAAAATTAATGATTTTGAAAAGAAAAATACTGATTTGCATAACTTACTTTCAAAAGTTCATGACGATCATCAAAAGAAGATTGATGATCTTAAAACTTCTTTTGATAAAGTTGGAACAAAACGTTTTGAAAAAGGAGAAAATTTAAAGTCAAACTTTGTTAGAAAAGTTTTTAAAAACTACAATCATAGAGGTCCCCAAAGAACCTCTAATGGAAAAATCGTTAAAAGTATGTGGGTTCCTAAAGAACTCATTACTACTAAAGATAAAGATATCCTACACAAATGGATACCTAAGGGGACTAGGATTTTAGAAACTAATGAATATGGACACAAAAGAATTTGGGTACCAAAAATAAAAAATTAATCTATGTTTATAGGGAAAGGAGCATTGCTACAAGGCATGGGAAACAAATTCAAATTCATGGTACCTTGATAGTGGATGCTCGAGACACATGACCGGGGACAAAAACCAGTTCATAGAGCTTAACGCCAAAAATGGAGGAGAAGTGACTTTTGGTGATAATTCAAAAGGTCACATTGAAGGTATAGGTACAATAGGTAATACCTCTTCCATACAAATAAAAAATGTTTTATATGTGAATGGATTAAAGCATAATCTTTTGAGTATTAGTCAATTTTGTGATAAAGGATTCAATGTCATGTTTGAAACTAATGGTTGTAAAGTTATTGACATTGCATCTAATCGGATAATGCTTGTTAGTCATAGAATAGAAAACATTTACATGGTGCATTTAGATTCTATTAATGTGACTAATTTATGTCTAGTTGCAAAAGATGAGCATGATAGTTGGTTATGGCATAGGAGACTAGGACATGCTAGCATGAGTGTTTTGCAACGGTTAGTTCAAGGAGAATTGGTTCGAGGGCTGCCTAAACTAAAATTTGATAATGATAAAATATGTGATGCTTGTGCTAAAGGAAAACAAAAGCGAGTTTCTTTTAAATCCATTAATGATGTGTCAACTAGTAGAGTATTACAATTGATCCATATAGATCTTTTTGGGCCAACTAGGACTACTAGCTTGGGTGGAAAACAATATGCATTTGTCTTGGTAGATGATTATTCTAGATATACTTGGGTTCTATTCTTAAGTACTAAAGATGAAGTATTAGAAAATTTCATCACATTTTCAAAAGTAATCCAAAACGAAAAAGGTTACTCTATCACTAGTGTTAGAAGTGATCATGGCACTGAATTTGAAAATCTTGGATTTAATGAGTTTTGTAATTCTAATGGTATTAGCCATAATTTTTCAGCACCTAGAACCCCTCAACAAAATGGAGTTGTTGAGAGGAAAAATCGAACTTTAGAAGAAATTGCTAGAACCATGCTTTGTGAAAATAATTTGCCAAAATATTTTTGGGCGGAAGCCACAAATACCGCTTGTTATGTTGTAAATCGAGTAATGATTAGGCCAATTTTAAAGAAAACTCCATATGAAATTTTCAAAAATAAAAAGCCTAACATTAGCTATTTTCATCCTTTTGGATGTAAATGTTTTGTTTTAAACAACGGTAAAGAAAACCTTGGCAAATTTGATGCTAAAAGTGATGAAGGAATTGTTCTGGGTTATTCCTTAAATTCTAAAGCTTATCGAGTATTTAATAAAAGAACTTTAGTTGTAGAAGAGTCTATACATGTTGTTTTCGATGATAATCTCCTTCCGAGGAAGGATTCTTATGTTAATGATGATGTAGGTATTGTACAAGCAAATGACGTTAGACATGACGTTGGAGAATCATCATCAAAGGAAGAAACGAAAGATGAGGAAACTCATGATCCTCTCGAGAATCCAACCATTGAAGAAATGGAAGTATCTTATCCAAGGGAATACAACTATGTCAAGGATGGTGAGATTATAGGTGATCCATCCAAAGGGGTAACAACTCGATCTTCTCTTAGAAATATTTGTAATTATGTTGCATTTATCTCATGCATAGAGCCTAAGAATATTAAAGAAGCATTAAATGATGAACATTGGATTATGGCTATGCAAGAAGAGTTAAATCAATTTGAGAGAAGTAAAGTATGAACATTACTTGAAAGGCCTAGTAATAAATCTACTGTAGGTACTATATGGGTATTTAGGAATAAGCTTGATGAGAGTGGTAATATAGTGAGAAACAATGCTAGACTTGTTGCTCAAGGGTAGGGGTGTAAACGAGCCGAGTCGAGCTCGAGTATTGCTG